CGCCAGGGTCGTACCCAGTACTTAGTGAAGTGGAGGGGTTACCCTCACTCACAGAACTCATGGGAGTTTGAGGTTATCCTCCGGCAAGATTGCCCTGACGTCGTTGACGCTTACGACCGGGCACATCATGTGCCGAAGCGCCACCATGGCGTGCGACAGCGTCGCCAGGCGCTGGGCGCCTCCCACTAGAGTGGGGAGCGATGAGGTCAGTAGTTGAGCTCAGGCTCTGACCAGTGGCTGCAGCAGCCAGCTCGTACGTATGAGCGGTGCTCGCAGCGGGAGCAGGAGGTGGAGAGACCTCGTAGTGTTAGGGACATGGTCCCGAAGGAAGCAGGTGCTTCGTGTTGTGCTGAACAAGGTTCAGGCACAAGCGTCTCGATAGACGCATAGTTGTTTTGAAACAACTTGCTCGATGAGCATGATCCAAATGTGGATGCGCTGTAACAGCGAAAGTGGTGTCCCGCACGGGGATCGAACCACTGGCCTTTGGCTTGACAGGCCGGAGCTCTACCATTGAGCTACAAGGGCGATGCCCGTACGTCAGTCCGAGAACGGACTACTCATGGTATGAGAGGGCTGCGCCCGGGTGGATTTGAACCACCGACCTGTGGCTTTCAAAGCCAGCGCTCGACCACTGAGCTGAAAGGGCGTTGCCCTTAAGCTTGTCCATTCAAGGACAACAGTTCATGGAACGAGAGGGCTGTGCCCTGGCGGGTTCGAACCACCGACCTGTGGCTCTCAAAGCCAACGCTCAACCATTGAGCTAAAAGGGTGTTGCCCTTAAGCTTGTCCAAGCGTGAACAATCGTTCATGGAACGACAGGGCTGTGCCCTAGTGGGTTCGAACTACCGACCTATCGCTTGTGAAGCGAGTGCTCAACCGCTGAACTGTTGTCGACGACTCGAATGAGTCAAGAGCATTGCTCTAAACGGTTTGCAGCTCTTGGAGTAGGCGCGGAGCGCGAGCGTAGGTCTGAGACCGCTTGAGAGCAAGATGCGCGCTGCGCTTGGAGCATTGGGCCGTGGGCCGACGACGAGAAGTTGGGCATCAACGATGCGTAGACGTTTGTGAGCTCACGGAGCTGTACAACGCTGGTGTGAGGTGTAGTAACCTCCGCCGTCTTAACAAGACGTGACCTCGCTGAGGAGAGTTTCGAGAACGGAATGTTCTCATCTTAGTGGGGGAGAGTGTAACGGGGTTACATGGTGTGGAACACACAGGGGTACGAAGTACCCGGAGAGTTAACAAACTCTCAGTACATAAGCTGGAGAGTTAACAAGGTCTCTTAGTACGTTGGCCGAAAGCCACACGTTATGCATTTGATTAGATTTAACTATGCTAGATAGTTAAACAGATACATTTACCCCTAGGCGGCTTGGCCGCAATAATAGTAAATCAAACACTTCTGGTTTTGAAGCATAAAAGTTAAGGTGTTAACTTTGAGCCCTGGTCTTGGGCTGTAAGTGTCCTTTGCATAAGGAACTTAGTATTAGTGACTCTTTGAGTCGATCGTCTTCCTCTGACGCTAAAGCTACGGCAGCCCCGCTGCACATAACCTTCATGATATGAGGTGACTATTCTCGACAAGATGACGAGTCTAGAATAGTTTACTTGACTGAGCATCTTGTCAGAATATTTTTTTATAAGAGACTCATCGGAATGATGTATCAACCGATAATTGTGTGCTTTATTTCAGCTAAATTATGGCACTGAATCCATATTTATTGAATTGATATGTGGGATAAGACAAGGGAATGATGTTACGTAAATCGCTACTACTCTGCCAATACTTAGCTTCTAAGCTCAAATGAAAGCTTACTACGTAGTCAATAGACCGCATTACCTTGTTACGATTCCAAAACGCAATGTAAATCACTACATAAAGATTTTTTTAAAGAATAACAGAATCCACAAAGAATAAAAGATGTATATATTGATATTAGAGCAAATCAAGCAGACTATTTATTCGCATGTTTGGTCACATCTTACCCCCCTAGTGGAGTGTGTTGTCTGTCTGTCAGTCCGTCTGTCACGGGCTAGGGTTAATTAATGTAACGCAAATGCGGGCATTCTACTGGCTGCCAAGCGCAGCGAAGGCGGCCTCGATTCGCTAAAAAGCTGTCGAGTGCAGCGAAGGCGGCCCTCATTGGCTAAAATCGATATTTTGTTTTGTACACACTATATGTGGACTACACATCGTACTTAAAACCACCGTTTAAATTTCATTTTGCCTTCATTTCTAGCTGCGGAGCGCCACCTCACGCAAAGGGCGCTGTGTGTGTGCGAGTTAATTTGCATAATTAAAAGGCGCCGATGAGCACACACGTACTATATCGTAGTAGGAGCTGTTGAAAAAATTTGTAGGCTTCGGTGACTCATATTCCGGGCTCAATCGAAACTTTAGTACTTATTGGATATAGAATGATGTTTTAGGCTTCGTAGTACTTTTCTAATACAACTTACAATATTATTTTATTTAGTACTATTATCAAGGTATTTCATATTTTTGCTTGCAGTCATTTGTAGTAGTAGTACACATAGTAATTATATCAGCGTTTAATAATAATTAACAATTGTATTACTATTATTAATATTGTGAAAAACGTAAAATATGACTATTATGGCTTACACCCCTGCACCCCACACTGCCTCCGTAAGAAAGTATTGTCTTCCTTTGTATTTGCGCGCGTAGTGTGCGACCTTAAGAGATTGTGTAAGCTTTCCAACAATATATATTGGGAAAAGCATTTGTTATTAAGTGAACGCGGAGGCACGTGACTAAGCAAGAACACGAAACGCGAAGGAACATCGACCCACACTATGTAGACGACGGGATAGAAGAGCAACACGAAGCACGGAAGGTCATGGACGATGATAGAAGACTTAGCCGATGCAAACCACAAAGTTGTATGCGTAGCGCGAAAGACGATAGGGCACATATCCATGAAAAGGACAGAAGGACAAGAATATGACGGGAGCGTACGGGCGACAGAAGGGAACTAAATCCATAGACACCTCAGCATGCTGAAAAGCACGGGCTACTAAAGAGCACGCAGCGGTAAGAGTGCACTAACAGCAATTCTCCCATAGCATTACGGTAGAGCACGGAGCACGGTCGACGGACCAGGCATAAAGCCGCTGGAGACCATAAACGAGAAATCACCGAGCATTTGAGCACAATACAGGGTAGAACCGGATCTTACCGAGCCAGGGAGCACGATACTACGGTAGCTCATAATAGAACGGACGGCAGACCAGCGCTGACACCACAAAATAAAACGATGACTTGGACGGTGGCCAAGACACTAAGCCATGATAGAAATGCGGCCACTGGAGCTGTAGACGCGAAATCACCGAGCCACGGAGCACTATATCAGTGTAGAACCTGAGCTTACCGTGCCACGGAGAACAATAGCGCATTAGAATTCGATTGCACGGACGGCAGACCAGCCACGAAATGGAAGGGGGCTCGGGGTGACCACGATTGTGGACGACGATGCCGTTGTAGAGTACGATAACATGGGCAATGCAGATGCAATCTGCGAGCACAATACCATAGACAGCAGAACCATATCGCAATTACACGATGGCGTTATAACGCGGTCGATGGAGCCTCACCAGACGAGCCCGATACACGGGTGCTGGAACAACACGACTGCGTGGAGGCACCAAACCACGGAAAAGCACCCTTCGGCTAGAGAACCAGCAATGGGAGGCGAACGGTCACGAAATACTGTGTATCAGGAAGCCGGTGCAGCCACGAAATGTTTGAGAGCAGGAAATAGCTAGCAGCCACGAAAGACGCAGTACTAAAAAAACATGAACCCAAAAGAGAGAGCTCTTAACCACTAAGCAGCGTGTGCCACGGGTAAGCAGGGAACCACGAAGCCAGGAAGATCACGGAAGAGCGCCGGCCACTGTAGAACATGAGATCTAACCTGTAGTACAAGGTAACGGAAGCGTTCCAAACCACGATATTATACGGGGCCGAATGAGACTACGGAAAGGCAAGTGGTTAAATACACGATGCCAAGATCTACGGGGTGAGCCACGCTCTCAAAACACGCAACACCAAGAAGCACTTAAATTTGCGGCCACCTCATCTCCAACAAACCATGCCACTCCGCCGCGTAGCGGCGGCGAACGGCTAGTCTTAAACATCTACTGCAGCAACCTGTCTGTCCGTCACACTAAATTGTCGTGCTTGTCACGCTTTTCCGGACAAATCATTGGATAAAATAATTTAAATATTTCTACTGGCTGCCGAGCGGAGCGAAGGTGGCCCCGATTGGCCTAAAAGCTGCCGAGCGCAGCGAGGCGGCCCAAATCGGCACTTCTGCAACCCTGCGGGCGTATGGGCCCGCCTGAGCCACAATCTGCCAGCCTACCATGCGAGTAGTGAAGCGAGCCGTAGCGAGCGGAACGGAGGCAAAACACAAGGAACGACATTCATTCTTTCCCGCCGCGTAGCGGCGGCACTCGGCTAGTCTGCTACAGTACTAACGTCCCACATATCGCGGTTAACACGAAGGGACCCAGCTGCTCGAAGTTGGCGGGGTCCATGGAGCGGCGCTGTGGTGTCAACACTAGCTTGCACTGGGAAAATAGCCGTTCACCGATGTGTTATCATCTTCACCAGAGGCATATACCGTCATGCTTGGCGTCGCGTTACGCTTCTTTCCTCGACGGGTCCTACCAGGGAACCTTTTGCTACATTTATTGTCAGTAATTGGCCCCACCAATACCATCCAAACTGTATTGTTAAGGTCAACTACAAATAATAAACAATTATATTGTAAAACTCAACAATTTATTGAATCGCAATCATTATTTCCGACCTCTGAGCGGTGCGAGCCTCGGTCTAAACACCTGCATCAACGCAGTAGACAGGCAATAATTCAGACCGAGTAAGCGCAAAGGATGATCGCTTTTCGGATGGATTGCCAAATCACCCGACTGAGTCTCAGACTGAGAGAGATCCTTAGTCTAAGAGGCGGAAATCACCTAGTAAATGATCGCTTTATTGCAGGTTAGAAGGATGGGGCTTGTGTATCTTTCCTAGCTCAGCTGTGAATCTCTGTTGCGCACGTATAGTCTACCTTAACATGTTCCCGCCGCTTGGCGTGCTTGACTTGGGAGAGTTCAGGTAGCGCATGCACTTTTGGTCGTTGAGCTTATCGCCCTGGGACTTGTCGAGGCCGACCTGAGAGTTCAAGACAATCCGACTAGTCGTGATGATGCCTGCTCCTGCACTACGAATCGAAACCATAGTAGTTCGGATGTTGCCACCACGGTTGGGGGTCGAAGGACCATATACCGATGACATCGGAATCATTTCGCCCTTGGAGCTTCCACCCTTGGACGGGTTGAGCTGGTGCATCCTACTCTCGATAGCCTCCATGAACTGTTGCTGCGGTCCAATGACACTACCCGGTCGGCACAGACGCAGCCACCCGATGAGCTCGTGAGCCGAGAACAAGTGGTGCTTCATCATGTATGCGCCGATACAGGTACCTGTGCGTCCAAGCCCAGCTTTGCAGTGCACCGCCACGGCTCCGGGAGTCTTCTCGCAAGCTTCAATGAACTTCATTAAGATCGGCATAGGCGCATTTGTGCCGTCCGGGTAGATCAAGTCAATGTGATCGATGCCCGCCGACAGGAACTTCTTCTCGTCGTACTGTTTGTCATTGAGACGCACTACCAATGTGACGTTGCGCTTCTTGAAGTATGGTATGTAGTGCTCCGGGGTGAGCATGACGTGCCCCTGAGGAGTGCGTTGATACACGTTGTGCGGCCCTGCAAAGGCTATGAACTTGGGTGAAACCCACGTGAGATCACCGTTCTCGACCCGTTCATAGTGCTGGAACTCGTGCAGATCAAACGTCTTAGTGGAGATGTAGCTACTTTTCATCGCGCGTTCGAGGCCCTTGAGACAGTCAAGAATAGTCAAGTTAAAAGTGCAGACCGACGGAGTGGCGTCGTGGAACGGAGGGAAGCGCATGCGCTGGAAGGGAGCGTAGGCCTTCTCTGCATTCATTTTCTGGAACAGAACAGCCCAGCAGCCCAAGATGCAGACGGCATTGGCCCGACGCTGTCCCTGAGTTGACGAGTGGAAGTAGACGACTTCACCTGCCTTAGCCGCGGCCGACAGTTTTTTATTGAGCGTCTCTGAGAACACAAAAGTGTGTCCGAGGTTGAGTGGGCCAAAATCGAGGTAAAAGTTCCAGTACATGAGTTCATCATCGATGGAGAAGAAGTGCGTGCCAGAAATACGAGGCGGCGCCTTCTTCAGCGGCACGTAGAACAAACGACCAGGGAGGAACTCGATCGCTTCCTCGAGACAGCTCGTCATCACCGAGCTAGACATGCTGAAGAGATGGAGGTGGGTGAGTCTGGTTTCCTGGGTTCGGAGACGTGCCTCGCAACGGGGTGCCTGGTCCCGCGCTGAAAACGATCTGAGGGTGGTTTAAAGGTGGGAAGTTTGTTTTCTAGAGCCTTTCCGGGATGCGGTCGAAAGGTGCGTTGAGGCTGTTGAGACGGTTAAGAAGTCGAAGAATGCGAGAGTGAATCACTGGATCACGGGACCCGTTGAGCGCTTCAACCGAGGCTGCTGCGGCATCACTTGCCTCCATTCTGATCAGCTCAATCTGGATGAGACTGGGAATAGAGTATGCGGAGGCATCTTATCGGTCCGAAACCCAAAATAGTGCGTTATCAACAACGCGCGGGTTGGACGCTTGCTGCACAGTCTGTTCCCCACGGGGCGAGAAGCGTCCTCGTCAGATCCGTTGACAGAGCGGAACTAGAGACGCTGGTCCGTTGCAAATACTTCTAGGGGGGCGACGACATCGTGGATGTCTGGATGCCAGTTAGTTTTTTTAAACCCTGATGCATTTATTTTTGGGCAGTTGATTACTACTTTTATTTGTTCTTAAGTATTAAAACAAACTACCGGTACTACTACAAGTAGCAACCGGTATATAAATTTATGAATTTTAGAAATAGAATACGGAGCAATATTTAACATTACTGTCACGCACGCAATAAGTAGATGGCCCAAAGTGCAGCCGAGAGAGACGACTATTGCTTAATAAACATCGAGAAAAGGCGAGCTGTTGCAGCATGTTCAGCCAAGACAAGTGAGTCCAAGCGAAAGCAACAATAATCGCTATTTGGCCAACTTGCGAAGAGTATTCAGGATAAGGTGGCGTAGAGGAATGACCAGCTGGAGATATAACGACTCTGTGACAATTATACGAAGCATTAAAAGCTTGCGCTAGCTTATTACTGATGTTTGGGCACTTGCTCGGCAGAAGGTAGAAAAAAGTGAGAGAGATATTCAAAGGGGTTTTTAGTTGGATTCTACATGCACACTACCTGAAAAGACACGCGCCTACACTCGATCTGATTGGCCCCAATAGTGAAACCAAGTCAAAATGTCGTACCTTCAATATTGTCGACTCGACACTTGCGTAAATGTTCTTGGGGGTCTGGCTTCCGGTCGCCTGCTCGTTTGCTGACTCTTAAATTAATGTCCAGCACTCCTCCCAAGAGCCTTGAGGTTCCTGAATCACTCGATGTCGACGAGTCCGATCTTCTCCCGTAGCTCCTTCATCCGTGGCGCCGGCAGCGCTTTCGTCAGCAGGTCGGCAAGCATTTCCGCGCCAGCCACATGCCCTGGCACCACGACGCCCTTCTTGGCGCAGTCTTGGATGAACTTGAGCTTGACGTTTACGTGTTTCGCCTTGGCCGAGCTGGTTTCGCTCTGCACTTGCACGATGGCCGCTTGTATGGTGTAGTGATTTCTCCAGAGTTACCCGTCGACAAAGATGCTGTAACGGGGCACGTATCCCTAGGTGTACCCCTAGTTACATGAAAAGTGACACGTCACACTTCAAAAGTATGACACGTCATACTTCGGGATATCTGGTACATGGTACCAGGGGCGTCCGAATCCAACCATTGGCTGATGACATTGCTTTTATATAGGTGACTTGTAGTTTGTAAATTTAACCCAAGTTTAGCCTACCTATAAATATTCTCAGCTTACAACCAACCTCAAACCGGTCACTTCGCTCCCTATAGGTAAAAAGGGGACCTGTGAGCTGCCGTTTACTGAGCGTTTGTATACTCTCGGAAGCCAACTTCCTCTAGCGCAAGGTGTTGTGTGACCCCGTCACACTTGGAAGGTACTTGTTGGTCAATCCACGCCAACGCGGATAGACTACATGAACCTCTCTGGAGTTCGTTGCCATGGATGGGGACGCCTTCTCCCATCTGAACGACTCACAGTTCGAGTCGGTTCGGAAGATGGCTGGCATCTTCGGTGTGGAGGCCTGGTGGCGACAACACCGACCGAGCAGCTCGGGCGCGTCAATGCGTTTGACGCTTACGAGCAGGGGCTCATCGCACATTTGCGGGAGAACCTGCAGGCTCCGGCGGCGGAAACAAATCCGCCACACCCGAAGCCAATACGGCAAGGTTAAGCCGAATGAAGGGAAGGAAGGTGAGAACCTTCACTTCTGGGTCCGAGCGGTAGAGCTCGCGGTGGACGCGGCTCTGATCTTGACCGAGTAACTTCGTGTTGCTTTTGCACTCTCCAACCTTAGCGGTCGTGCTAAGAGTTGGGTGTACACGCGGGAGTCAACATCCCCTGGATGTTTCACATCCTGGGCTCAGCTGTGCGACAGCTCCGAGCCGCGTTCCTCCCGGCGAACCACGAGTACCGCCAGCGCTCGCGCTTTCTCTCATGCAAGCAAGTGAGGCGTGAGCTGCACGAGTATGTCCAAGGGATACGGGAGCTCATGGCGTTCCAAGTGAGAAACCACGCAACGAACCCGTCAAGATGACTGTGTTCATGGACGACCTTCGAGTGGGCCCAGCGCGTACTCAGCTGTTCCGGGTGCAGTCAAGCACCCTTGAAGAGGAGATTCAAGTGGCGCTTCAGGAAGAATACAGCCATCGCCAGACGCACACGACGGTCTGAGCATGGCCTGGGAGTTCTTTGTCGAATCCCGGTCGAGCGAACCCCAACGAACCAGTTCCCATGGAGCTCGTGTCCGCCAAGCAGCGCGACATTCGCTGCTTCGGCTGCGGGAAGATGGGCTACTTCAAGCGCGAATGTCCCGTGGAAAGACTCCGCAGACGGTCTTTCCCCAAGCCCGTCCTCAAGGGTCGCTGGCAGAAGCCATGATCCCGGGGACAGGGGAATACCGGAAGCTAGTAGGGGCGGGGCGCCTACTGGGGAAGAACTAAGTCTTCGTGAAAGGTGCGCGGGTGGCGCGTACCACGGAGACTTAGCCCTGAGAGTCTTCGCACCTCGAATAGGCGAAGAGTAGCGGCGTGTTGCTCGTAATACACGGATGTGTACGGGGATACGATCACCCCTTAAGAATTTTGATCGATTTTTCAGACAGTTGCTCGTAATAGCAACAAGTTGTCCGATGCTTTGAGAGAAAGCAAGGGCAACGGGACAGTATCAGTGCGACTGACCGACGGGAAGGCCGTCACTGTCCCCAACGTCCAAGTGAATCTGGCCGTCAAGTTTAAAGACTTTGACAGCCTCGAACAGTTTACTGTTCTCGACATGGATCCCTACGATATGATCCTGGGCATGCCTCGAGAAGCACGAGCCCTGGATCGACTGACGAGGCAAGGCAATCGTTGCCAGCCGCCCTGCGAAGTCCGACAGAGCATTGGCGAGTCATGCTCCCACCTTTGTCAGGACCCGGGGCGCCCGCAAGGGTTGCCAGGGTACCGAAGCATCCAGCAGATGGTTGGAGTCATCGACGTATATGACGACTCCGAGGACGCTTCGATGGTGGCGCGCCCAGAGGAGGCGCTGGCCAAGTGGGTAACTTAGGTCCCCAAGCGGGTAGCATAGTTCCGCAGACAGCTGCAGCTGTCACGAACGCTGGTGATAGCGTATTCAAAGTGGGTAACAGAGTTCCACACACGGTCGCCCAGATCTTAACTGAAGAGGAAGGCGTTGGATACGCTTCCTGTGTATGTAATATAATGCCACACGCGGTCGCCTAGACCTTAACTGAAGAGGAAGACGTCGGACACGTTTCCTGTGTGGGTAACACAGTACCACACGAAGCCTCGGGTGCCTCGGATGTCGGAGCTCCGACATCCCCAGACGTGGATAACCAAGTTCCACGTTACGGTACCCTTCGACGACGACGCCGCCGCCGAGAGTCGGATCGGAACCTCGTTCAGATCGATGTCGCTTCAAGCGACTCGGAGTCCAGGGCCCGGGCAGAGTGTTATCACATCTTTGATGGCGAGACCGGTTTACCAAATTCCCACGTGAACTCTAGCTACAAATGTAGTTAGGACGTTCCCACAACAATACGTCTACTAGGATAGTAAACGATCGTTCGCGCGGACCTGAAGACCCCAGTTCTGCCCTTGCACCGGGACAAACTGGACCTTGTAAACTACTTATACAGGCCAACCAGTAAAAATAAGAACACGCTACTAGCACGAGCAAAGCTAGCAGGTGTTATGAATCCTCGCAATCCCAACAGCAGAAGGGTACCAGGCACGGGTAAGCCTTTTACGAGGTCACCCAGTGTTCAACACTCGGTTGAAAGAATAAAAGGTAGGCAATACAAGCACTCCCAGTCGTGCAAAAAGGCAACAATAAGCCGTCACGTAAAACCTCCCGAGAGTAATCGGCCAATACACAAAGTCTCTTGGCCTTGCCGGATGAACCCTCGCTACAGAGCTTCGAGTTCACCGACAGGCATACCACACTCAAACAAGCTTGCCCAGACGCTTACCTTGAAGCCGGACGTCGCTCTGTGTGCTTGAGTGGAAATTCTGTTCTGTATTTAAGCTTACCCTTTCGGGTCTATTCCTAATAAGAAGTCATAATCAAGTTTACAAATATCAAGTGAACAATGATCCATTATGGATCTTCTTGCACGCTAAGCGTCGTCTGCACCGTCGCATGAGTATCTTTAACGGTCCGCGCCCTGTCCCAGACGGTGAACGTGCTTCCCAAGGGTCGCTGAGTCTTCCGCGAACTCATCCCAACCGCCACCGAGGGTTCGTACCGTAGAGGGTCCGCTGAATGCGAATCCGGCCAGTCCATTATTAATAATAAGGACAGCCTGGATTCAGTGACATATGGGCCGTATCCAATACTCATTGAGAGTTCGGAAGTGACGTCGTCGAGTCCCTTGCACCTTGGCGTCTCCGTACATCACATGACCGAGGGTTCGTCGCTTGAACATCTTGGGCGGTGTCACGTCTTTGTCGACGGGTGATAATCCGCAACTATGGAGAAATCACTACACCACAACTGCCCCTGTCGCAATGAAAGCCACGGTACGGGTGCCCGTTGTGACATTTCTTCATTCTCCAATTTACCATCCAGTCACCGTATGTCCAAGCGTTTGAATCGAGCCGTGTCCGACGCGTTTCAGCGTCTCAATCCTCGCCGACGTCGCGAACGTGAACAGCTGGAGGTACGTCAGCTCATCCTTCTCTTGAATCATCGGCACCTTGCTCATCACCTCGCATTACTCGAC